CTCATGTCCAGCCTCTCACCCACCAGCACCCCAAGTCCTTCTTAGAGTTGATCTCCATCTGTTCATCCCCAGCCTGGATAGATACCTGGAGTTGCCCCAGCTCAAGTGCAGCACTTGACCTTGTTAAACCTCATGAAATTCTCATGGGCCACTTGTTGAGCATGTCCAGGTCCCTGTGGATGGCATCTCATCCTTCAGGTGTGTCAGTGCACCACTCAGCTTGGTGTCAGCTGCAAACCTGCTGAGGGTGCACTGGATCCTTTTGTCTGTGTCATTGATGAAGATAGTAAATAACTGGTCCCAGTACAGACCCCGAGGGACATCACTTGTCACTGACGCCCTGGAAAAGCATTCTCTGGGCAGCAGCTCCGACTACTGGCCGATTTCACGCAAGTCCAGACTGTGGTGACAGGGTAAACCAACGCAGACACATCACTATACATGTTTGTCAAACTGGGAACTCTATACCCAGCTCCAAATCAGCATCCCAACAGCAAAATCCCTGAGGTTCCCTAGTGACAATGAGAAAGGCAATTTCCACTTTCTAATTTTTAAGATGCCCAGCTGATGGTACCACCTTTGTAAGCGTTTTCAAGAAGGAACAGTGCTCAGGCTGAGTCCCAGGCTGTAACTCATAGTTAAAAGGAGAATAAAAAGCCATACAGCAGCACACCATCACTGTTCCCAGTCTGCCACCAGCTTTCCTCTGCTCTTTTCTCAGGGTCCTTCACCTTCTGCTTCCATAACTCAGAGAGGCTGCAGTAATGCTGCCACGAGTTACTCATAATTTGGATTACTTTAAATAGAACAGTCCTCTGATCTCCTCATTTCACATAATCAATATCCATGGGTATCACTTAGGGTAGAGGGAAAGAAGACAAAACAGCAGGGAGAGAGAGGTAACTACAGAATAAACACTGTCAGTGTGAATGCTCCTGTCAGTTGTTAAACACCTGCCCTCTAAGGGACTGAAGAAACCTTCCAAGTGAGACAAGAAGGCAAAATTGAGAGGTAAGAGTAAAGCAGCAGATAGGAAGGCTTAATTCTATGCAAGTCATCCATTCCAACTTGGGATGATATACTATCAAGTGTAGTTCAAGTGCTATCACATTTTCATCAGAAAAATGCATGCAATCAGCGGGAAGTCCAAACCAGAGTCCTAACTGCTTAGGATACACAAGGTCTGAATCCTCTCCACCCTTAGATGCAGATACTATTCCCATCCACACAAGCTGTTCCTAAAATGCAAGTATCCTCCAGACCTTGCAGGGGGATCTCAAAGAGCAAAGTGGGTTGTTTTCTGCTCTTCCTATCTCCTCATTCCTCCATACATTACTCCTTTCACACTGAAAAATTACACTAGCTGTTACTTCCCAATAAAGGATAAAGGCTATTGGTATTTCCCACATGAACTGCTGAGGCCTCACCTTGAATCCTGTGTCCAGTTCTGGGCTCCTCACTGCAAGAAAGACACTGAAGTGCTGGAACATATCCAGAGAAGAGCAACTGAGGTGGGGAAGGGTCTACAGAGTAAGTTATATGAGGAGAGACTGAGGGAGCTGGGAGTGCTTAGTCTGGAGAAAAGGAGGCTCAGGAGAGACCTTAATGCTCTCTACAACTTCCCGAAAGGAGGTTGTAGCCAGGTGGGGTTGGTCTCTTTTCCCAGGCAACCAGCAACAGGACAAGGAGAAATGGCCTCAAGCTGTGCCAGAGAAGGTTCAGGTTGGACATGAAGATGATTTTCCTCATGGAAAGGGTTGTCAAACATTGGAACAGGCTGCCCAGGGAGGTGGTGGAGTCACTGTCCCTGGAGGTGTTCAAGAAACAACTGGATGTGGCACTTAGTGCTCCGGTCTAGTTGACAAGGTGTTGATGGCTCAAAGGTTGGACTCAATGATCTTGGAAGTCTTTCACAACCTTAATGATTCAATTATTCTATGAATTATAGTGATTTTGTACTCTGGGTTTTATTCCAAGAACAGGCTGCCCAGGGAGGTGGTGGAGTCACTGTCCCTGGAGGTGTTCTAGAAACAACTGGATGTGGCACTTAGTGCTCCGGTCTAGTTGACAAGGTGGTGATGATGGCTCAAAGGTTGGACTAAATGATCTTGGAAGTCTTTCACAACCTTAATGATTCAATTATTCTATGAATTATAGTAATTTTGCACTCTGGGTTTTATTCCAAAATAAATGACTGTAAAAACCAAACCCATTAAAGAAACTGCTTCAGAAGGGTAACTAACAAGAAATCAGCGCAGCTCTAAATAAATGACTGTAAAAACCAAACCCACTAAAGAAACTGCTTCAGAAAGATAACTAACAAGAAATCAGTGTAGCTCCTACAAGGCAGGAAGCAGAAGTGCTACATAAGGCAAAGCATTGGGATGAGACACTCTGCTTTACCCATACTGCTGTCTGATGTAGAAGAGGCTGCTTAAAGCAAACTTCTCATGGGTATTCATCACTTGCCATTTCCCTGATGATTGTCTGAATGTCTCTGTGAGAGAGGTCTGTGGTGCAACTGAAGGTAGTGGAAAAGCTGTGCTTTGAGTGAGGGGGAAAACCAAGCATTCCCAGGATTGGCCCCTCACACTATGGCATTGCCTTTGACAGTTTTTACTGCAGCACTTTGCCATCTGAAAATGGAAAGTGCTTGTTAGCCATGCAGGGCTACGTGATAATTGTGCCTCTCTGTACTCTACGTGCACTTGTGAAGCAGTTCAGGAACACGACTGGTTTCACAGCAGGATGTGAACAACACGGAATGAATCAACATCAGGGCCACACATATTAAATGAGTGCTAATGAGATCTACTCCTGTACAGTTAGAATGTGATGCAGAAAAGCTTGCAGCCAGAAAAGTAATAGAAGTTAAGCATCAGATTATGAACAATATGCACTTCACTTCCAGTTTGTACTAGCTTTTGAATTGGCAGATTTCTTCTAAAACCACTGAACTTACGTTATCAAAAGAAAAGCAAACAATCCATGAGAGCCAAATTGAATACTTACTTAGAAGGCAGGATCAAACAACTCACATTACCACAAGAGCCCACCTCTTTCCGAGTAAACATTAGCAGCAGCAGCAGGTTTGATGTGGAAGAACAAAATGTGGAAGCTGTTGAAATTTAAGAAATACTTCACCCAGGAGTTTCACAGTAGTTTGGCAACAACACAGAAAGAGTGAGAGATTCTGATCTTTGGCTCCAACAATCAGCGTGACTTAGTCAGGAGACTTCTGTGCTTTCCCTAACCTTGACCTTTTTGTTCTTTTCAGTCTGTCTATTCTCTTTCCTACTCTCATTTTTCATCATCTATTACACCCCATTTTCCACTTCAGATTTCCCCTCCATTAGGCTTCTGCCTTTGATACCCATTTGTCCAACTTGTCCCAGTTCCTTCACTCTGATTTCACATCCAACAAAGGCAAGCAGGAGGAAGTTTGGAGGTGAAAACACAACATGTTCTGTCACTCATCTGATCCCCTCTTAGCCCCAGTTTAAAACCAGTTTCCCCCACCAATCTCAATTCATCTTAGTTAATGTGATGGGACCTACTCCCAGAATCAGCAGCTCATGCCTTGAGTCAAGAAATGTCTTCTTTCACATCTTGAAGCCATCAGGACACTGCACTGCATAGAGATGTAGATCTCTTCTCTCAGTTCCATGCACAGCCTCAGCTCTAAGCTGCATCCTAGCAAACAGTGTTCCAGCCAAACTTTAACCAAAAGCCTCCAGCAACTCTTTGCATATGGAAGCAGAACAGTTCTTGATTGAGTTCCAGCAGAGATCTCTTTGATCTTAAAATGACTGAAAGTATTTAATCCTGAAGCAAAGCTTCTCTCTCTCACCAAATGGAAGATGATGTCCTAGCACATAAAAGACTTGAGCACTGAAAAAACAACTGCACTTTCTCACTTAAAAATGGGAGAAATTACACATTTCCTCATGTCTGTGTGCCACATTACATGGAATTATCACAAAAGATCAGATGGCACAAAGTAACTTGTTTACTTGTTTGACACTTCTGGACCTTACAAACAGCTTGTTGTTGGCATTTTCTTTAAGACTTGTGCTCAGGGCAGAAAACAAAGCTCAACTCAGTGATATGTTTGCTTTGAGAGCCAAGGGAGAAACAGACTAGTGCTAAGACACATTCCCTCTAATCCCAACCTGCAAAACAACATAATACTCACCAACTAAGAAACAATTTGCTTTTATGACCTTTTAAAGAGAAAAATCTGCATTTCTACAAGTCTCCTGTAACTGAAAAGACAACACTCCTGAAATACAGTTTACATGATTAATAGATTTTACTCAGTATGTACACAGTTCTCCCAATAAATTGGGTCATACAAAGGCAGTTTAAGAAGCATTAGTTATTCGCCTTGTCAGTTGTTACATGGGATATGTCTTTGGTTTGGCTTCCTCCAGCTCAGCGTCCAACCAGCGGAATCTGCGGTGACGGCGCAGGACTTCGATTGCTTTTTGTTCTAGAGGTGCTGGTTGGATACCCAGCTCTTCAAAACCAGGCAGGTCAGGAAATTTCATGTCTGTTGTGTGAAACTTTAACAGGAATGGTGGGGGAGAGGTAGGAAGAAAAAAAAAAAGAGAATTCACTTGCCTGAAATGAAGACCCAATACAATCATTCACGTGCCAAAAAAGTGTTGTGTACTTATACCTGATGTCACCTTTTCCTTTTATGGAAACAAACTTGCATAAATACTTAGTGCTAGAAACATTTTCACATGTCTCAAAACTATTTTCTACATGGCAGCTCTTGAGAGACTCCACTACAATTTCAAGGCTGCTGACATAAGACAATTTCTCCCCAGACACAACCTCACATCACAATACACTGCTGCAACTTGTCATAGATCTGAAGACCTGTTTGAACACTGGACTTGGCCAGTTCCTTGACTGATTCTTGTTCACTATTTATTCTTGGGAGGAGGAAAAGATTCAATGGTATGGTGTAAGTATTATACCATATAGACTATGGTATATGGAGTACCAGTGACTTCAACAGGAGATACAGATGTTTTGCATCCAGCAAAAAGCCCTTCAGCCTTCAGCCTTAGGTTCAGGAATAAATAGCAGTGGGACATGTAGAAATTGCCATCATTTTCTCTCCATCTGGTATATCTTATTAAATAGCAGTGGGACATGTAGAAATTGTCTTCACTTTCTCTCCCTCAGGTATATCTTACCAGGGAGATTACTGCATTGCAACCACAAAATTAAGCCAAACTTATAAGGAAAGTTCACTCTTGAACTCAAATTATGTCTGCAACCACAAAATTAAGCCAAACTTATACGGAAAGTTCACTCTTGAACTCAATTTATGTCAATTCTGCTTTGTCAAGAAAGTCTGTGTTGAATTAGCACCTCTGGTAGGTTGTTTTGCTCTGCTCATGGTTTACAACAGGATCCTGTACAGGACAAATATTTAATTCCATTACCGTATTTGCAATGACTTAAAACTTAGCAAATGGGGATTTCCCTCATACTATTGCTCCTTGAAAGGTCTTTAAGTCAACCACATCTAATACTGTATTATTATTTAAGGATGAAAAGCTGGAGGAGAGGAACAATCAGACACCAAAGTGACACAGAGAATCTCCCCTCTTATACTACCTATGCTGTGGCTGATCTGCAGCAGTTTTAGTGGTTTGGTACAGGCTTATTTGATGAAATGTAACTTGATAAACTACAAAGGCCTAGAAGAAAGGCCTCGAGAGATGCTACACCTATACCCTGGGCCAGGACAGCCAATAGAACTACAGTACCAGCTCTCTCCAGTTTGGGAGAAATCCTCTTTTATTGCACATCCTGTTCACAGTTTCTCACAATGATTTTCAAACACAGATGGGAGAAATGTGAACATAGAAATTAATTGCTTACAGCTACTCAGTAAGCAGCTCTAAGTATAGGACCCAGTTCTCACAGATTCACAGTAGTACCCTGTCTCAATTCGGGGACAATCAGGTTAAAATAGGCTATTGATACTGTGCAATAACAAAAGGTATTAAAACTCCAACTCTGCAAAAGAGTTGGGAGAGTTCCTACAACATTCAGAGAGAAGCAAGCTTAGAGACTGTACATGACCTCTTGTGAGGAGGTGTCCCTGCCCATGGCAGGGGGTTGGGACTAGATGATCTGTAAGGTTCATTCCAACCTTTAAATTCTATGATTCTATCTTTGCTAGCCTACACATATGCCAAGTTTTGACATTAATACTTGTTAAATCCTACTTTTTCCTTGCTTGCAGTTGTTTTTTTGCAAGTTATTTCTCCACCCCCACTTAAACACCCTGAGAAGTTAGGAACAAACATGAAGTTGCAACATTTTCACAAGAAATGTGCTCTGAAGTGAGAAGTTGGAATGTAGCCAGGGTGTCAGTTCAACTTCAGTTCTTCAGAACACCACGATCTGGATGATGTAAGTGACTCTAATTCCATCTAGAGGTACATACACACTCACAAGGTACTTAAGAGTGGGGAGCACTGCCCTCCCCTCCATCCCTTTGCACACCCAATCTCTGCTTTGGCATTTTCAATAGCATCTGTTTTTGGGAAGGGAGCAAAGACACAGGCAAACAAACTCTTTACTAGTTTTAACACCTGACACCTTTAAAAACTTAAATGTTTGTAGTATCCAAACAGTCTAAAAGCAATTCTTCACTACCAAACTTTAGCCAAGAAACTGACTGAAACACCACACCACATAATGTGCACACATCTCAGCACTCCTGTCCTTGAATGCAAAACTGCAGGAGCAAGTCACAAACACACAATGAAACATTTCCCAAGGAGGATTGTGCCATACTTACCCTGTCCACTTTGTCCCGTGTCAGCCATGGTTCAAAGGGATTCAGTTCAAAGAATCTTGCAACTAAACTGTAAACAGAAAGATTATTGGAAGAGTACAGTCATTATCCAGATGCACAGAGGAAAATGGGAACTGGGAAAAATATTTCACACTTAGTAGACAGTGAGCAAGAGCTTGTTCTGCAGCTGTTCTTGCAAGCTGTGAATTCATTAAAGCAGTGAACATACCAACCACCAAGTTCTTAGTTGTGTTTCTGGTAACTTTAACTGTTTCCTACTCAACTATTAGATCTTGGATTATTTGACTTTAGAATGGAACGGAGAAGAAGACATCCAGAAGTAAAAATGAGCATTAGTAGGTGGGGAAATTAAACCTCAACATCCAACTCCCCACACACCAGAGGGTTCAGTCTTGCCCCTGCCTTTGGTCCCAACCCTGTTCTCTAGCAGTGTGGGCAGGAATCCAATTAGTCACAAAATTTGATTCAGTGCTCCATGAGAAAACACATTTGCTGACAACTAAATGAGCTATCAGCCAGACAAACAAGATGATGGAATCTGGAGCAATCTAAAAAGGATGAGGATTAGTATATTTGCAGTTTTCAGAAATGAAGTTTCCCTTGAAAGAAAAGAAAATGATGCTACAGCTCTTGCTCAGTGCCTCAAAACCAACAGCAGAATCTCCTACTGAACAGGCAGAACCTCTCACTGAAGTGCTTATGTGGGAGACTAGGGTGTTCCTGAGTTATGGCACATAAACAGAACTGGGTTTATCTGTCTTTTAGATGGATTCTCTTCTCAAAAATATGAAATATCACTTAGTTTAGTCCATAATGTCCAAACTGAACATCCCATGACATAGCCTGAGGCTATTTCCTCTCGTCCTGTCACTAGTTGCCTGGCAGAAAGGACTTTGGAGTAATTATGTTTACTACAAGTATACCTTTCATACACCAGGCCATCAAATGGGGGCCTGTGCCCAAGCAGAAGGCTCAAAGCTGGCTAACAAGCACCTAGGGAAAGCCATTTTCTGCAATCCTACCACATTAAATAACAACTGACCAAGTAGATAACCAATGCAACAAGTAATTATGCTTCTGTGCTGCCTGGTGGAGCCCAAGTTCTTAGTGAATCACAGAATCCCATAAGGTTGCAAGGGACCACACTGGGTCATCTGGTCCCACCTCTCCCTGCTCAAGCAAGGCCATCCTAGAGCACATGGCACAAGGTTGTGTTCAAACAAACATTAAATAACAACTGACCAAGTAGATAACCAATGCAACAAGTAATTATGCTTCTGTGCTGCCTGGTGGAGCCCAAGTTCTTAGTGAATCACAGAATCCCATAAGGTTGCAAGGGACCACACTGGGTCATCTGGTCCCACCTCTCCCTGCTCAAGCAAGGCCATCCTAGAGCACATGGCACAAGGTTGTGTTCAAACAATTCTGGAATGTCTCCAGTGAGGGACACACCCTCTCCTCTCTGGGCAATCTGTTCCAGTGCTCAGTCACTGCACAGTGAAGAAGGTCTTCCTCATGTTCAGGTGGAACTTCCTGTGCACCAGTTTCTGCCTGTTGCCTCTCATCCTATTGCTTGGCACCACTGAGCAGAGCCTGATCCATCCTCTGACACCTCCCTGCTGATACTGATAGACATTGAGAAGAGACATCTGAGAAGGGACCTCACTGAGGCTGAACAGGCCCAACTCCCTCAGCCTAACTAGGGTCCCACTTACTGGTAGAGAGGACGTGGAAGTGGGTAGGGAATAAAGGCTCGATAGGAGATGGCGTAGATGTATTCTACCATGTCATACAGGAGGTACCGGTGAGGTCTGAAAGAAAAAGCAACCAACATTACAAGTAAGTCAGGTATACTTAAATATTTGCACCAAGAGACACAAAATTTTAAAGCCTCCCACCCCAAGGGTGGAAGGGCCCATGATGGAGCTGGGGAAAAGCATGGAGTCAAAGAAGCAGGAGAAAGGAACTGTGGGCATCTGACTGCTGGCCAAGGCTAAGCCACCACAATCATACTGAATAAAGTGCATTCTGTATACTCTTAAAGCACACTTTAATGTGCCTCCTCCATGCTGACTCAAATTCTGAGCATGAGATTTTCAGGGGTGTGACCGGACTGATAGTTTTTACAAGCCCACTGGGCAGTCTGTAATAGAAGGAAGCCAGAAAGCAAATGGAAAATTAAGGATGGTTTATTAACAAGACATCACATCTTTGGTAGCAAATGGCTGCAGGGAAATTGATTCAGTTGCCTTTGCTTTAGTAATATACTGTTCTCTTCAAAAGCAGGAGGAAGGAGGTAAGACTCTAAGATAAGCTGCCCAGAGAAGCTGTGGCTGCCTCATCCCTGGAAGTGTTCAAGGCCAGGTTGGATGGGGCCCTGAGCAACCTGGTCTAGGGGAAGGTGGGCAACTTGTAAATCCCCTGTCTCTAACCATTCTAATTCCAGGTGGTTTTCACACAGCTTTACCAGAATTTCCTCCAAATTTATGTTGTCTAGCATGTTTCCCAAGATGCCCATGTTTTTTTGTGTGCATATAACATAACATGAAATGCAATGGGGCCCCAACTAGGATTTTCAGAGTACTCACAATAACAGCTTGAGTCATTTTTCCTCCCAAAAAGGAGGTGGAATTTATTGCAGCTCAAACTGTGTGTGTGCATGGATGGAGAAATTAAATGTACTGTGCAGCATGCCAAAAAATGACACCAAAAAGAAGTCCTTCAGTTAATTAGAATCAGAGAAGTAACCTACCCAGCCAAGGCATATGTTTTTCCTTTTGCATCAGGATTCTTAATTGCATTAATAATTGCCTTTGCCACATCAACCACCTGTAAGAAGCAAATTCAGACACTTACCAACAGAAAACTGGAATGTATATACAGACTCCACTTTCAGAAGTGACTTACAGACCAACACACCTCCCACCCACCCACAGAGGATTTGGGATTGTCTTGTGTTATTGAAAACTTACATATACTGGTTGCTTGACTGTTTTTTTACCCAGAGCAATAAGAGGCACACCACCAAACCAGCGCATGTCTGACACAAAGAGGGAGAAAATCTGTGAATCCTTTCAGTAAGCAAATGCTCAAGACATTCTACAATGCACTGAGTGTGGATCCTTTCTGAAAATTAACTGAACTGACTTAAGAATTCCCATCCAATTCCAGAAGCATTGTTTTCAACACACATTTAGTTTTATTATTAACAACAATGGCTGTATCTACTGTTTACTTAGAGTGGTTCAGAGGTATCTCAAGTTTGAATATAGAAACAGGTTCCACTCTTTACTGTCTAGCAATTTAGTGATCAGTCATTACAGCTACTTCTGAGCCCAGAACAACTCAGGTCCATCTTTACACTTGAGCATTACCAAATAACTTTCAGGGGAAACTATTTTGAGGGTTAAGATGACCAGAACTTAGCTGAGAATAATCTAAAGAAAAAAACAATAGTACATATCCCCCCTCATAATAAAATCATTTTAAAAAGTAAAATGAAAGAGCAAAACCTAACTGGATTCAGTCAAGAGATGCAAATTTTTGTTTCCCACTGCACACATTCAGCTAATAAAGCACATTTCTGACAAAAACACACCTCTCTGCTTTTCAAAAGCAAATCCCATTTCCCCTCTGTTCTCTACAGACAGCTGTCCAAATCACACATGGGTTCATTATTTCAAGAGTACATACTTGCATAATGATTGAGAAATCGGTCCTCTCTCCCAAACATCTCAGAGGGCTTCAGAATTATAGCATCTGGGAATTCTTCCCTCACTGCATTCTCTCCAACAGCCTATCATTCAATGAAAATGAACACACTCATTAGATCCATTGTGAACAAACCAGAACTGGAGGCCTTTAAGAACACAATGCATCCTGACTGCAGAACTGAAAGAAATAGCACCATCAGTAGCAGAAAAATTACTTCTGTCTAAGCCATTTGGAGATGCTATACTAAGATAAAGGTCTCACTAAAAGTCCCAAAAGCATGATTATTTCTTCTACTTGAGATACAATTAAGTCACACTCATGAGGTGACATAAATTTAGAGTGACGAAGTTCAAAAAGAAGCCTAACTCAAGTACTTCTCTTGCTTGGAAGGAAAGCAAAGTTTACGTAACCCTTACTACATTATCAGAATGCTCCTAAGAACTGAAGTCCAGGCAGAAATTTCCCTGGTGACTATCTCCTTTCCACATGGGACTCTCAAATCCGGTAACTATCCTATACAGTTGTTACACGCTGAGAGCTACCAGTGACAGGACCCGAGGGAATGCCTGAAGTTGTGTCAAGGGAGGGTTAGGTTGGACATTAGGACCAGAGGCTGGTCAGGCACTGGAACAGCTCCCCAAGACAGTGGTTGTGGACCCAGACCTGACAGAGCTCAAGGAGCATTTGGACAATGCTCTCAGGCACGTGGTGGGATTGTTGGGAATGTCCTGTGCAGGGTCAGGAGTTGGTCCTTGTGGGTCACTTCCAACTCAAGATATTCTGTGATTCTGTGGAATTTTAACCCTGGTTTCAAAACACTTTTATACTAAATATAATACAGAGTACAGTGAGGTTGAACAAAACAAAAGTAACAAACTGGGACAATAGCTATATTAAAACCAAAAAATCAGTACCAAAAAATTATGCCTCCTAATAAAGAAAAAATAATAGGATACCAAAACCAGATTTTTTTGGGTACAAGAGCAGGTAACAATCCTCCTCCAAGGGCCAAAACTGTGAAACTCATTTGTCTTTGCAACATTCATTCTGGCATTAGCTACTTACTTTGCTAGGTCATTCCAGCCTTAGATGTTAGGCCTGATATCAGATCCCAAACCATCAACCCAGATGTTCTTTCTCAATAACAGGGATTTTAGATGCCAAGATATTCAAGGATAGAAAAAGGAAGTCTTCAGGAATACAATATCTATTTCCCTTCAAAGCACATAAGTACTAAGGAGGGTTTCTAGCTCCAGTACCTCAAAAAGTCTCAGCTGTAGAAAACACTCTATAGTAAATTCATACTCTGAAATCCTTCAAACACATTCAGTTGGGAAAAAAAAAATCCAAAACTAGGCTCTGAGAAATTAGATTCAAAAGGATTCCAGACTTACTTTGCTCCTGAGGTACTTGGAAGGACTCTTCATGCTGGCATTCAGGTGAGAGATATGGATGAATGTTTCCACACCTGCTTCCCGACTTATCTGGGCGATATTTTTAGGAATATCTACAAATTCATCTTCAAACCTGAAGTTCCTAAAAACAAGGCAAAAAGCAAATTTTACTTTCAGTGGCTGCTGACCAACCAAACAATCCCTATGTGTTACTTGCATCCTTACATATCACTCTGCTCTGGTGTCACTCTACCTGGAATACTATGTACAGTTCTAGTGCCCCCAACTTAAGAAGGATATGGAACTTGTGGAGCAAGTCCAGAGGAGGCCACGAAGAGGATTGGAGCACCTACCCTATGGAGACAGACTGAAAAAGTTGGGGCTGTTTAGCCTGGAGAAGAGAAGGTTGTTTGGAGACCTCATAGCAGCCTTCCAGGATCTGAAGGGGTTACAGGGAAAGCTGCAAATGGAATCTTTGCTAGGAACTGCAGTGATAGGACAAGGGGGAAATTTAGGCTAGATATTGGGAACTAATTCTTTACTGTGAGGGTGGTGAGACACCGGCACAGCTTGCCCAGGGATGTGGATGCCCCAACCCTGGCAGTGTTCAAAGCCTATCTTGATGCTTTTTTCCAGGATCTGAAGGGGTTACAGGGAAAGCTGCAAATGGAATCTTTGCTAGGAACTGCAGTGATAGGACAAGGGGGAAATTTAGGCTAGATATTGGGAACTAATTCTTTACTGTGAGGGTGGTGAGACACCGGCACAGCTTGCCCAGGGATGTGGATGCCCCAACCCTGGCAGTGTTCAAAGCCTATCTTGATGCTTTTTCTTAGAACCAAAATTCCCTTTCATGAGGCACTCTTCATACAGTGAAAATTAGAGGCAAATGAAATGCAACAATAAGCTTCAATCATAGCTTTAGTATTCTCTGATTTTTCACCTAAGACTAAATCAGTATGAAAAATCCTATTGCTCACTTGTCTGTGACAAATAGAAAACCGTTCCCGAGTGAAAACAGATGATTATTTTTTTTAAAGAAGTGCTCTGAGCAAAGCTGTCTTTTTACAAAGCTGTTGAAAATGTGACTTGATTTGATGCACTTAATTATACCACAAAGGAGCTGAAAAATTCTGAGCAGCACAAGTTAGGGTAGATGCTTGGCACTGGGGAAGCAAAGGACACACAGGTGCATAGGCAAATGGAGAGACTTAAACTGTCAGAGCACTTTGAGCCATTTCAGAGCAGCCACAAGGGACTTCCAGGAGAAGCACACAAAAAGAAGAAATCCTCCACTCACCGTTTGACATTTCAGGGGCCAATATTAGGGGGTTATGCCATAAACTAGTTTGGCATCTAATCAAGACCAATACAGAAGCTCTGTCTCCAAGCAGAACTGACACTATAGGCTGCCAACAATCCCAAAATTCTTTCAAACTATCCCAAGACTGCAAGAAAGAGAATTGGCTTCTCATGCCTTTATACTGTCCTTGTAAGCACGTCTCCATCTTGTCCTCTTGCTTTGGGTAACAAACATCTTACCCAAACGCCTCTCTCTCTGTCCTTATCTACTCCCACAGCTCTTCAGATCCCACTGGAGTCCAAAGAAAGCCTTAAAAATAAGAAGTTATTTTTGACCCTCCAATAACTAATCTGATCCTGGGAACCATCACTTCTGTTCTACTCACAAAAATAGATTCAGAAACACACAAGAATGAACAACATCCCTCCTGTAACTATGGAGTTTGCAAACAACATAGTACACACAGATGAAGCTGTACACTACCATGAGGCAAGGAAGAAAGTATTTCACAGCAGGCTTTACTTTTTTTGATGGGTCTCTACATCTAATCTTTCTTTCTTTCTGCCCAACTTTTTCCCAGACCTTGGGATGATGGCAATGGTTAGTCTGACCTCGTGTTTAACAGACCACAAAATTTTATCTCAGGGTTCCAGACCCACCACTGATACCAATATGTATGAAAGAGGCAATAAAATCATTTATGCAACACAGTTCTAAGTTCTGTAATACCCAAAAGTCTTTAACATGGACCAAGACTAGTCTGTTTGTTGAAACTGCCCAGAGGATAAGGTTTGGGCTTTATTAACTAGAATGAAACTTTTCGTTGCTGTCCTCACATTTCCTTTCAATAATAAAGAAACCCTCTTTTATGTAAGTCCCAAAATTCTAAAGGGGTAAATAGACATAAAATACATATCTGAGAGATAAACAGACATCACACTGTCCCTGGGCCAACTGTACAGGCTTTATTTTCCTCCCTCACTCCCACATTCCAAAGAAATTTCTTCTGTTTTGACAGCAATTTATTTGAACTCTATTTTAGGAAAAAATAATTGTACCATTATGACTACTAATTCTAGTCTATTAATACAATTTGCCTGCTAATTTTACAGTTTCAACATCAAATGGCTGTTCACAAAAAAAACAGAGCAACAAAGGCATTAGGTTTGTAAACACAGATGAAAGTGATACCTGCATTTGTTTCTGTCTACTAGGACAGCAAAATCATGTACTGTATAAAGGCAAATCACACAACTAAGGAGTTTTTGTCTGGCAGTAATGCACAAGGCTTTAAATAAAGTGGAGACAATTACATGCACACAGAAATAAATGAGGCTATTATAGGTATTTTTATGGGAATATGGGATTTTTTTAATGGACTTCAAGAAGAAACTATTCTTAGAAATTATTATTCAAAAATGCTTATGTAGCTAATACTTTCTGTGCCAAAATTCTATCAGGGAGTGATGTTATTAACCATAATCTTAGGGGCTCTCCATTAGCTGTTCCTGTCTATAAACATCTGCCAGAGAATAGAAAAAGTTGGATCATAGCTTTTTCTAGTAGGCTACAACTCATCACTACACCCAAGGATGAAATCCCACTTCTATAATAATATAAATACAAGCTCAGAAACTGGTGAACCTTTGTCATCTGTAGCCTTTGTCATCTGACTGTGTCATCTGTCAGTCCCAACCCTGGCAGTGTTCAAAGCCAGGTTGGATAAAGCCTTGAGCAACCTGCTCTGGTGGGAGGTGTCCCTGCCCAGGGCAGGGGGTTGGGACTAGATGATCTTTGAGGTCCATTCCAACCCCTTAACATACTATGATACTATGATACTATGCAGGGAGGCACTCAGGGCACATCTCTGAGGTGTCTGAAAGCAGAGCAAAAGCTGCACACTAGAAAATCATGGAAACAATGCACTTTACCAGAGCAGATCATAACCAGGACTCTAGTTCAACATTTAAAGAAACAGAAGAAATTTTGCATGCAAAATTTGGCTTTGCCTTTTCATAGAAACCAAGAACAATGGCAGCATTGCTGCGTGGCTACAGTGTTCAAGTACCTGGTACAAATCTTTCTATATAGGAAATATAAAAAGGAAAATTACTTTGTTTCCCATTCCTTTCCAATAAGATTGATGACCACATTGCTGTGTTCCACGGCTCTTCGGATGGAGTCTTTGTCCTTGCAGTCCCACTCCTGCAAGAAGAGCATCAAATGGGGGAAAGATGAGATAATGTATCAATAGGCATAATCAAAGGAAGCTCTTCCACACTACTTCAATTTAGAGGCTAAACAATAGCTGGAGTTGTGTTTTTAAGGATCATTAACAGACTGCCTTGTCTAGCAGTGGGTTTGTACTTGACCTGAAGCCAGAGCAAGAGACTTACCAAGAAGAGGAGCTGCCCCAGGTCACCCATGGGCCGCAGATACATGAGGTCATACTGATCACAGCGATAGGGTATGATGACTTGAGATCCAATGCGACCTAAGGGTCCAAAAAAACCCACAAACAATTACAAACTTCAGTAGATAAACTTCTAAATAACTGAAGCTCTGGGGTTTTTTTTCCCCTGGCATTAAAGCACAACAATTAGACATAGATATCTTGAATACTTATCTGCAGAGCTAAAAGTAGAACAGAATTAAGTTCTTGAACTTACATTATTAGAATTCTTACACAGGATTATTTAGTATTTAGGCTTGTGAGGCAAAATACAGACGCTTGTTAGCTAAAAAACCCAACAAAATAACCCCGTGGTGTGCCCCACAAACACAGGACAATGCTTAAAAATGTATCATATATAAGGAGATCTATATGAAAAGGAGAAGGGGAGGAAAAAGTAATGGTTATTTTCCGAAACTTACATTCTAAAGAGCAATTTTAAAGAATTCCAATCAAATTCCTGCAAATATTTCACTAAAACAACCTAATAAAGCTAAAACCAGAAGAATCAAACCTGTGCTGTACCTCTCCTTGGAGCTGCTGACTGATAAACAACACCTGAAGGACTATGATTTATTTTAATGACCTTAACAATCTTCAAAAGCTTCGAAATCTCCTAGAATCAACCAGCTTTTACTAATTGTCACATCTTTAGCAGACCAAACACTAGAAAAACATCAGGCAAAACACTTGTAAGATCCAAAATGACAGAGACTTCTCTATCATCCTGCAACCTGAAGAAAAATTGCCATTGTTGGACAATTGTCCCCAGGTTTTTTTTTAAACTGGGAAACATTACCTAAACGGTTGACCACATATCGTCCCAGGAAACCTGTAGCTCCAAAGACAGTGGCCACAATGCCACTGACAGAGGATCTCCCACTTCTTCCATGAGGGATCACAGCGTGATGGACTTGGCGCTGCTGCTGCAATGCAGATGGTGCTGCAGCTAGCACAGAAAGTCCAGGGCCTACAACACAAAACAGGAGAGAACATGAGACAATAACTACAGTTTGATGCTGCTAACTTACAGGTTATGTTATTTTTCTCATTACAGATCCATTTTTTCAAATATTCCCCAGCACAACTTCCGATGTCAAGACTCTGGATGGGCTACTTCAGAGGTGCCTGGATAGGTCAGAGGACAGCAGGCTTGAGAAGCTGTTGATAAAGTCAAGGACCAAAGTTACACACGAATGGAGAGGATGAAGGCTACTGATTCCTAAACAGCAAGTAAAGCTTAACTGGCTAGTGTGAGTCTAAGGTGAAACACAGAGGTTAAGTAAAGAATACAGGTCCCACCAAAGGACATCCACAACCACATGGCCATAAACTGAGACAGGGCAGACTCAGATTAGATATTATGAAAAATTATTTCACTGTTAGGGTGGTCAGGCATTCGAATAGATTGCCCAGGGGGCTGGTGGAGTCACCATCCCTGGAAGTGTAAGACGTGCCTGGACCTGGTGCTGGAGGATATAGTTTAGGGTTTAGAGGTTACAGCAGTGACAGGTTAATAGTTGGACTTGATGATTTTGGAAGTCTCTTCCAACCTTGATGATTCTATGATTCCATCCTCCTCTCAGACTTTCTACCTTAGTCTAAACACAGCAGAGGCAGCAATGCTCCTGTCTCATAGCTCTGGAGTGAGGGGTTATGAAGAGATACAAAGCTGCATGATGCACAGAGTATTATCTCAAAGACAGCATGTAGTGACAGGACAAGGGAGAATGGATTCAAACTGAAACACAGTAGGTTTAGGTTAGACATTAGGATGAAATTTTTCACTGTGAGAGTGGTGAGACACTGGCACAGGTTGCCCAGGGAAGCTGTGGATGCTCCATCCTGGGAAGTGTTCAAGGCCATGTTGGATGGGGCTTGGAACAACCTGGTCTAGTGGAAGGTATTCCCGCCCCTGGCAG